ATCAGAGTAGAGACCATGGTATGTTATTTTTCAGCATATACATATAGGGTTCCTTGTTTAGAAGGCAAAATTGTTTAATTTAGCATATATGTTAGACCACCTTAAGATTCCAGAGGGTCAGAGGCTAATGTTACTAAAGTACTTTTGCTTAAAGAAAATGTTAGAGGTGGAAAGAATCTTCTTTAATAAACCCATTTATAAATGTGTCTAAGTAAAAGGAGTTCTGAGTGCTTACCCTAGACATGTTTCCCAAAGAGCTAGAAACTGTTATTAGGAATGACTTTGTGATAGTCCCTGATGCTGCTGCTGTACTAATTGACCACTAGTTAAAATCAGATTATCTAGGAATAAAATTGTGAAGCAGTAACTAGGGTAGATGGAAATTAACAAATTTAGGAAGTGTCCACAAAGACAACTGATAAAACCCAGTGGGTGCTAAAGAGCATATCAGCATTCACAATCATCATAAAAGGTTTTATCCAACCAGAGGCTTGCCAGCTTTCTAGTTTTCATGAGGACAGTGTTAAAATGTGTTAAAATGTGTGAAACTATTAAAAAAAAATTCCGTATGTGGAACAGAACATAGGAACATATGTGTAAAGTTTGGAGACGAGGAACACTCTCATGCTCATCACCCAACTTTAGAAATGAAACACGGATAAATCTTTAAAGCTTTGGTATGTCCCTCTCCAATTTGCTTCCCCACTGTCTTCCCATCCAGAGGATAACTATTTCTCTGCATTTCCTAGCTTTTCTTTCTAAGGTCGCCATATAGGTATATATTACTAAACAGTAGAAATGGAAACATACTCTATGTGTTTTTCTGACTTGTTCTTCTTAATCAGCTTTCTTTGTGAGGTTAAGCTTTGTTGACACACTTAGCTTTAGTTGATTTATTTTTAGTGCCGCGTAATTTTTGCTTAGTAATGAGCTTTAATAATTCAGTGGACAGGTAAGTCACACCTAAGGAGAATTATTAAACATAAATATTAATCTTAAGAAATTACCCAGAATGCTTCAAAAAGAGGTTAAAGAGGAAACATTTAAAGGAAGCTTAAAAAGCATGGAAAATGGAATGAAAAGTTCTAACAGAGGTCTGTTGGGAATGCTAAAAGAAAAAAAAACAAAACAGAAAATAAGGGGGAATCAATACCCAAATAATGGCCAAAATTTCCCAAAGTCAATAAATCCATAAATGTTCATATTCAGTCCTGAGCAGGATTAATTTAATTTACATCTAGGTGCAATATAGTAAAATAATAAAACACCAAAATCAAAGAGAAAGCCTTAATATTAACTGTAGAGAAAAATACAAGTATAACAGAGGGTAGCAGAATTGGGCAGACACAACAGTAGAAGTCAGAAGACTGGAATAATATCTTCAAAGGGTTGAGAAAAAACAAAGCAAAACAACTTTTTTTTAAAAAAAATATATTTTATTTATTTTTTACAGAGAGGAAGGGAGAGAGATAGAGAGCTAGAAACGTCGATGAGAGTGAAACATCGAACAGCTGCCTCTTGCACACCCCCTACTGGGGATGTACCCGCAACCAACGTACATGCCCTTGACCGGAATCAAACCTGGGACCTTTCAGTCCGCAGACCGACGCTCTACCGCTGAGCCAAACCGATTTCAGCAAAACAGCTTTTAACATAGAGTTTTATACCCAATTAACCTATTTTTCAAGAGTAGTGGCAAAATGCACTTTTCAACAGACTGCTGAATACTAATGAATGTGTCTTAGAAAGAAGGAAATTGAGCCAAGGAGGAAGGACTGTATAAAAAGTAATGGCAAACATATAGGTGAATAAGTAAATTTTGACTGTATGAAATGATAATAATGACTACTAATGTTCAGAATGCAAAGCAAAGTGGAACTAAAATGTTAGATAACACTGACAAGCCTTAAGGCAAGTGATGTGTATTAAAACTGTTAAGGGAAAGGGCATATGTGATTTTTCATTTTAGGCATTAAGTGTGGTGTGCATATCTAAAATTTAGTAAAGAGTAGAAATATATAATATTCAAATCAATAGATAGCTGGTGAGGAAAGTAAGGAAAACTGTCAATTTATTAGTAAGCAGCAACAGAATGGACAGAGAGGTTGGGGAAATAGCAAAGAAAAAACTTACAAATAGAAAGTAAAGTCAACCCAAAGATATGAGTAGTAACAGTTAAGTCATATAAATCTGCCAATTATAAAAATACTGACTTAAAAAATACAAAGTATAATAATATTAAGGAAATAGTAGCCAAATAAAGATGCTGTAGCACAAATCATAAAGGAAAATATTAAGTATTTCAACTCAATACATTAACCAACAAAGAAATAGCATTCTGCAAATTAGTTAGAAAGACAATAGACAAATAGACAAAAGATAAAGATAGTTTGCAGAAAAGAGGTGGAGAATGATTCCAAAGGAGAAAGAAAGAGAAAAATGTTAATCTGACAAAAGCCAAAACCACATTGAGATGTCCTGTCACACTTACCTATCTAACATTACCAAAAGACTGTGAGGAGGAACATGAGTTGAGAGTATAAATTCTTACAATCACATATGTGAGTAATTTGGCAGATGGAAGGTGAACTCATAGCCTTGAGTGTAATACCATTTCCATGTGCATGTAGATCTTATGGATTCCTTGAAGAAACACCTGTGAGCAGAAGAAAATACCATTGTTTGTAATCACAAAGACAAGAATGGTAACAATCTAAATGCCTCTCAGCAGGAGACTAGATATATAAATGTTTGCATCTTTACACATTAAAATATTTTATATACTTTACATGAATAATAAAAGATTTATCTTCTATTGAATGTTCCTTCATCCTAGTTCAGTGTTTGTGGTAAATGTTAACATTGTACACCAAACATTCCTTTCTTCTAAGGGCACAGCAGGGTTGCACTTTCCCACCTCCTTGAACTTAGGAAGGCCCTGTGACTTGCCAAGTCCACCACATGTGAGCCACGTGATGTATTACTTTGGGGGAAGAGTTTAAAGAGCCAGTACCCAGCTCTCTCTCTTCTCACACACTAAAGCAAAGCCTCTGCCACCTGGTCCCTGAGTGATATAGGGAGCACAACCACTGGGCTGATTGTCCCTGAACACACAGGGTGAGCAAAGAACAAACGTGTGCGGTGTGAACCGCCATGAGAGTTGGGGCTGTTACTACCCCCACAGTGTTGTTATGTCTCAGCTCTATTTACTGTGCATCTTGTGTCCCTTCCATAAGTTCTCTCACAGAATACTTACTCTTTTCCAAGAGACAAGGTACCAGAACACCGCTTCTAAATATAGTGCTTCATCTGTCTTTTTTCAAAGTCATGGGAGCTTCTCTCTAAGCCCCTTCTCTGTCAGAAAACTGTCCTTGCAGGTTATTGCACCAGTGTTTTTGCTTTTTGCTTTGGAGTTAAGCTTCATAGCAAGGGATTCATCACCAGAAAATTCATTCTCTCTCCCTTCTCCTCCCCTCCCTTCCTTCTTTATCTGTGGATGGCTGTCCTCATCTGCCAAGAGCAGAGCCATTAGAGAAGGTCTGTGAGATGAGGGCTTGCCCAGCTTTGGGAAATAAGTACATTTCATAAAGATACATGTACGACTATTTACTTGGCATCCTTGTAAAGTTAGAAATGTTTTGGCACAGTGGTAGTACTGCTCTCCCTCTTTTCAGAGTATAATGTTGTACTGAAAAGTACTGTATACTGTATATCTGATGAGAAATTATCTTTTTTTTCCAATCTATTACAAATTATGTAATGTAAGTTATAAATCTTGAATGGACATAGCCAAGGTTAATTATAGATTTGGGTTAAATGACTTAAATCGCTTAAGGGGGGAAAAAAACTCACCTTTTATCATTCTCTTCTTACTGTTTAGAAAATCTGCATTGTTTTTGAACAGATGTTATTTTGTGGAAGCCCTTGATTTTTATAAATAAACAGGTTGATATGGCTTGGAAGTATAGAGGGAAACTCAGAATCAAAACAGAGCTGGTGTTTCAAAATATAGCAGTTTGTGAACAAAGAGAAAAGCATGTGTATTAAAATGCATGGAATAGTAAACAAACAAAAGAGGGAAATAAATCCTGGCTGAGGGCAATGTATATTCTGAAAAAGGGTTGGTGCCATGTCCTGGATATTTTTCTTATTTATGAATTTTTAAATTATATAGATACACACACACACACACACACACACACACACACAAACACACACACACACACACACATATATATATATATATATATATATATATATATATATATAATCTTTCTTCAAGTAAATTTATTAAACATAATAAATCAGTGCAGTTTAGACAATATAAGTGCCATGAGACTACCACGTAGCTAAAGAACAGAACAAGACCAGTACTTTTGAAACCCCTACAAAATTTCACTCTGGAAATGAAGTCATTAATGTTTGAACCCCATTTTTGGGAGTCCCTCCAAGATTTCATCTCTCTTTTTCCAGACAAATTATCCTCAAATTTGTATAATAATTCCTTGGACTTCAGTTTTAGATGTATGTATATATCTCTAAACAAAGTATATTTATAGTTTTGCCTTTTTTAAAACATTGTATAAATAAACTCATACTCTGTGTTCTTCTGTCTTGTTTTTTTTTTTTTAACTTAACTTTTTTTTATTCATCTACTTGCATATAGCTATGGTTCATTAATCTCAATTACTGTGTAGTTTCCCTCTATAGTATTATTTTGCAGTGTGCTAGTTCATTTTATATTTTATGGGGTATTATGTTTATTTTCCATAAAATTTTGTAAGGTTAATTGTTATATGTAGTTTGGTTTGTTCCAACCTTACGTACAACTGCATTTTGTTTTGTTTTTAAGCTATTTGACATGGAAAATGTGTTCATATTCTGAGATAATCAAGATATTCTAATTTACCTTTTGTCAATGATTTGAGATAAATATTGATTTTTTCCCCCCACAACACAATATCGAGATATATTTGGTTTTTCTTGTCTTGGCTTCACAGTTCCCAAGGAGAATGTCGCAACGATTGCTGATTGTGCCAGTGTGATTGAAGGAGTCAGTCGGAGCCGAAACGCCTTGCTGAATGGGGACACCAAGAATTATGATTGGGATTCTGGCTACACATGCCATCAACTAGGAAGCGGGGCCATTGTGGTTCAGCTGGCACAGCCGTACATGATTGGGTCAATACGGTAAGAAGACTACTTCTCACTCATTACTTTTGAAATGGAAGACACATACAAATTATAGTTTGGTACAGCGATGTGTCAATAACTTCAGTGAAGACACTCTTTTATTCTTTGCTCTTGATAGGGAGGGGTAAAAAGGGGTACAGAGATATAGGTACTTGTTGGATTCTCGGAGGAAAGGGAGATGCAACAAGAGTTAGACTTCTGGGGAAACTAGATTAGAGGCCTCTCCCTGATTCGTATTGGTTAGGGACTTGCAGGATAATGTCAACACAAGATATACAGAATAAAAAATCATTTGAAGCTTTAATAAATGCCTTTTCATAGGGACGAGAGAGAACTGTATATGAGACCTGCTTCTAAAGAGTTTTTGTAATGATCTTTGTGTCTGTTTTTTACTTGTTGTTTCCATTTTGCTTTAAGAAAGGAACTTTAACCCAATGTTGCTTGATTTATAGGATCACATAATTTTGTTGTTGTTGTTGTTATTCCTCACCTGAGAAATATTTTTATATTGAATTTTAAAGAGAGGGGAAGGGAGGGGAAGAGACAGAGCAAGAAACATTAATGTAAGAGAGACACATCAATTGATTGCCTCCTGCATGCACTCTGACCAGGGCTGGGGATCATACCTGCCACTGAGGTATGTGCTCTTGACCAGAATCAAACCCAAAACCCTTCAGTCCACAGGCTGATATTTAACCACTGAGCAAAACTGGTGAGAGACTGGTGACATCTCCTAGACTCTAGAGCCTAGAAAATATACTTTTTAGTTCAAGAGAACCATCTGGGTCTTAAATAGGCTGCCTATTTGTTCTTAATGTTCTAAGACTGTCTCTGAAAGAGTAATGGTAAATTTTATATATATTAGAGGCCTGGTGCATAAAATGCGTGCACAGGCGGGTTGGGGGTTGTCCCTCTGCTTGGCCTGCATCCTCGGGAGATGTTGGGCCTAAACCAGCAGTCGGCCATCTCTCTGGCAATCTGGGACGCTGCATGCACCAGTGACCATACTTTTCATACAGGTGAAAGGCATATTGCTGTTGTTTGGGCAGCTACATTTTTTTGCCCTGATTATAAAAAGTAGAACATAACATAATCCTTCTGAAGCAGTAGTACTGTTTTCCCCATCTTATGGGTGGAAAAACTGAAGCAGAGAGAAGTTAAGTAATTGGCTTTGTCACACAGTTATAAGTGTCAGAATCAGGGCTGACCACAAAATGTGCAAGCCAGAGTCCATGCATGTCATCGCTGCATCATCCTGTTTTTTCAGTATTAGAGCAGCCTTGCCAGGTTTGAATTTTTAAATCTAAGGGACTGTTCCCAATATATAGGGTAGGGATCCTAGGCCTGGTTGGCAATCAGAGCCATCTGTGGGGCAACTGGAAGGCGGGGCAATCGGTCAATTTGCATATTAGGGTTTTATTATATAGGGTGTGTGTGTGTGTGTGTGTGTGTGTGTGTGTGTGTGTGTATTTATATTTATATTTAGTATTAGATGAGCTATTTTACATTGTCTCTTAGCGTGCAGGGGTAAAGACGTTGGCAGGACATGGCCACTTTCCCCCTATCACACTTCTCAATTTAAATTCAGTATGTATAAAGAGAGCAATAGGACAAATTAAGGTAGTAGGGGTCTAATACGCAAAAATCAATTGATGTTTAGTTTAGTAACCGCAGAGGTAATTGCTGCTTGCCTCAATGATTTGGCATAGATATTAATTTTTTTTTCACAACAGTTTCTGGGAACCCTGATAAGTGATGGTAGATTTCTTGGAGAATTAAGACTGTGGATTTCTTCATTTAAATTGTCAACCCCTTTTCATAAAGAGCCATGTACAGCTGGAGTACCATAGCCAACAAATCACAGATAGAGAAGCCTGGAGTTTATTCTGCAGGCAGACAGCTCACATTGTGCTTAGGAAGGGGAAGAGACAAGCCACAGGCAGTATGAACAAACTGCCAGTGCAAATAGCCTCTGTCACAGAGCAAACAGCGCCCCTCCTTCCTCTTCTTCACCTGCATGCATTAACTAAAGTATTCATAAGCCATTCGTGAATTTTTGTCATGGGTGGCGTGAAACTTATCTGAATATTTCTCATTACAGTCTATCCCTCTTCACTTTAAAAACCTGGGAAACAATTGTCCTTCTCTTGTCACTGGTGCTCTTTATAGTCTCCACAGTTTCTTGAAGATTACCAATCGTGTCTCTGAGATTACATCTGCAATTTCTTTCAGCAGGCATGTGGTGTAACTCATCTGAGCCAGGAGACTTGAAATCATTTAAATTGACTAGATACCCTCTTTCTTTCACTTCACCTATTTGGGGCTTCAATTTTTTCTTTATTATGTTTGTTCTGCCATTTCTAATTTGGAGACCAGCCGTCTTGCCAATGAACAAGTAAGCAAACTGGCAGCTTAGTAACTCTTCCCACTCTCTTTTAATGTTCCTTGTATTGTGTCTATTTACCTGGTACTTCCCTTCCTCCCCTCCTACATACACACATTCACACACACCTAACAAGGTCCCATGTGCATCTCAAACCCATGTCAGAAATGGATCCTATTATCTTTTCCTTCCCCTGTTCAAGTTGCCTCACACTCGATGCCCCATTTCATACCATGGCACCACCCTTCTATCCATCAACTGAGCCCAAAACATGGGGATCTCTCTAAATTTCTTCCTCTCTCTCCCTCTTCCCCTCAACTAGTCCGTTGTAGAGTTCTGTCAATACCAGCTCCTACTTGGTCTCACAAATCCTTCCTCTTCTCCTTCCACTATCATCACCACAGTTGCACCTTTGTAGTTCCTCCTCTCCACCTGGCCTTCCAGACTTTCATCTAGCCCTTCCTTCCCTTGAGCAACCATCTCCCACCTGTTACCACAAATCTCATTCCTTAGAGAATTTGTGGCTACTGTTTGCCTTTGGGAGAAAGTTCCAACAAAGGCACTAAAAGTGATCTGACTTGGCTTCTGTCTGTACAGCCTGTCTCTGGTTTCTCCACCCAACCTGCACCTGCTCTGTCACAGCCTCCTCTGCTCCTTGAAGTTTTACACTTGTCACCCTCTTACCCCCGCATCTTCAACTCTTTGAACACACTGTCCTCAGGGCTTGGGTCTCTCACTGCCTTCTCATCACCCCCTTTATGCCTGGCTATTATTCCTGCTTCAAATCTCCACTCCTTTGAGCACGCTTCTATAACCTCACCATCTTCTGGACTAATTTGAACATTCCTCCTCAGTGATCTCAGTGATCAAATTGCTACCAGAGCATTTGTTGTATTTGTCAAATTGTGTCCTTGCTGCCTCCTCCGAGCCTCAGCTGATATATAAAGCCTGTGGCAACTCAGAATGAACATCCCTCAACAGTTTGTGCAGATGAGGTAGTCTGACAAGATAGAGGGAAACTTGTGGTGGGTAAGATCTAGTAAGAGATCTAAAATCTTAGATCCAACAGGGGCCTCATGAGGTCTTTGCCAAAGTGACAGCTTAGAGACAAATAGGCTCTTCATGTGACAAGGCTACCTTAACCTCCAGCTCAGGTCAAAGCATCAGAGAGGTTGAATCTGACTCCAGAAAAAGGTGTGATTGGGACTTACGGCAAGAGGGAACAGTGTCCATTTGTTTCTCTTTGAATGTGGGATTAAAATGGTTCCCCCAGTTTTTCTTTTCCTGACTCAGAGGAGGGATGATGTGCATGAGCACAGCCAAAGGCAGAGCTGTGCATCTCAGCACAGTGTGATGCCTCCGACTTCCTCCAGCCCAGATATTGTTTCTGCGGGAAGAAAATCCATGCAGCTGAAGCCTGTGTAACTGGCTGAGTGCTCAGAGAGACACGTCTCTGTGAAACTCACATTATGTTGTCAGGGGCTGCATTTGCCTCTTCTGTGACATTGTTAAGAAGAGAGGGAGAGGGATTTATTAACCACCAATGCCCCTGGACGATGCTGGATGTCCTGGCAGGCTGTGGTTAGCAGCAGCTCATGTGCCCAGACAGATATTTATTGGTGGGAAAGTAGATCGGGGCACCTCTTCATGGGGATGGGTAATTGACCAATGACAGTTGACTAGTCAATGACATTTTACCTACAGTTTCTACAGTTGCTTGTGATTACTGATTTGCTTCCTTCTCACTGTATCTGAAGAAGGCCAGTGATTCTGAATCAGCTCCTAAGGATGCATGTTACAGGGCTGAGTGATTTACACGTTCCCATCTGAAAGCGAGCTGACAGTCTTGGAAACTCGTGGTACCCTGACTTCAAATTCAGATTTCTTTGTAGGTGATGACTTTTAAGGCCAAAGTCTCAAACACAAATGATCTCCATCACTGTGTTCTTTATTCCTGTGAGGAGACATAGTTGTTTGTGGATAAAAACAATTTGTATTTGTCTCTATTTGTCTGATTTCATCAACAGAATCCATTTCTTCTTTTTCTGAGTTTCCCCTGTGGCTGGTAGGCAAGCAGAACCTTGTTTCTTTTCTTCTTCTTTTTTTAACCCTTACCCGAGAATTGATTTCTAGAGAAGGGTAGAAAGGAGGCAGGGGGGTTTGGGGGGAGGAGAGAGAGAGAGAGAGAGAGAGGGAGAGAGAGAGAGAGAGAGAGAGAGAGAGAGAGAGAGAGAGAGAGAGAGAGAGAGAGAGATGTAAGAGAGACATATTGATTGGTTGACTCCTGAATGTGCCCCTACCAGGGCTGAGGGATCAGGAACCGAAATATATGCCTTTGAATGGTAATTGAACCCAAGACCCTCAGTCCGAGGGCCGGTGCTCTAAGCATTGAGCAAAAGTGGCCAGGGCAAGCCTTGTTTCTTTAAAAAAAAAAAAAAAAAAATCTATTGATTTTTACAGAGAAGAAGGGAGAGGTATAGAGAGTTTAAAAATCAATGAGAGAGAATCGTTGATCAGCTGCCTCCTGCATACCCCCTACTGGGAATGTGCCTGCAACCAAGGTATAATACATGCCCTTGACTGGAATCAAACCTGGAACCGTCTATCCACTGAG